GTTGGTTTGGTTCAAGGCCTCTGGCTTCTGCTGGTACACCATCAATGCTGGACCCTCACTGAGGCTCCTCGCAGATACCCTGCTGTTGTCCTGAGTCATGGAGGTCCTGCAGCTGTGGTTCTGCAGGACCAGCCCCTTCACGTGCTCCAGTAGCTCATAGACGGGTGGATGCTGGGGTGGGCCAACTCCTAGCCCTGAATCTGGGCCTGTGTGATAGCTGAGTTGGTCAGCCGGCCAGCTCTCCCATCCCCACACCAATGGGGCCATCTCTTACACACTGTCCAGGTGAGGGGCAGAGCCAGCTTTGGAGGGCACACTTAACCATGGAGCCACCTCATCACTGAGGATTTTACTTGCTTTCAATCTACTCCCCCTTTAGGAAAAAGCACCCCTCCCTCATTCTCCATTTCAGTAGTTTGGAAAGGTCTTACCGTAGCCCCAGAGTCAGGCTTGAAAACATGGTTCAGGCCTGTTAATTCCATCCTCTTGGCAAGATGTAGCTTAGGGATGGTTAAGTCCCAGGTTTGTGTCACTGGAGGCATTTCCAGAATTTCTGCTCAACTGTTCAGACCGAAAGCCCTCTTCCTACTGTTCCTGAGAGGAACAGGATGGAAGTCTGCGCTGCTCATAGCATCTTATCCCTAGAAGGTAGAAGCTGGAGGGAGGCAGATCCCCACCAAATTCCTGTGCAAAATCCTTCAGGCCAGACTGGAGAGTCCAGAGGCTTTCCCTGATGGGCCATATGGGAAAGTGCTGTTTTGTCTAGGCTTGATGCTCAGCCAGTGCACAGGAGGACCTGGAGGGCTGTTGTTGACAAGGATTCAGCCTTCTGATGTGTTATGCCCTTATCCACATCTGCACTGCTAGGTCGGGTGTCTCCCTTCAGAGTTTTTTTTTGGTTCTGCCTCACCCCAGCCTTTCCAGGTACCCCTGCACACCTGCTCTCAGGAGAAGGGAACCTTAAAGCCACTTCCCCACTAAACTCAGCAGCCAGGAGCTTCCAATTTTGTACCCCTAGAGTGTTCCATGCCTGTAAGGGCAGGGGCTTCCTGTTCGGGAGACATGATTTTCCTATCTCTGTTGATTAACCTGCAGTGGGCCAGCGCGGTCTCCTACATAGATAGCACTCTTTGCATAGGCCCTCATAGGAGGTAAGGGGCTTCTAATCTCCTTGGGGCTTGTCCTCTTTTCTTTTCTTTTCTCTTCTTTTCTTTTCCTTTCTTTTCTTTTCTTTTCTTTTCTTTTCTTTTCTTTTCTTTTCTTTTCTTTTCTTTTTTTTCTTTGAGACAGGGTCTCCTGTAGCCTAGGATGGCCTTGAACTCACTGTGTAGCCAAGGATGATCTTGAACTGATTCCCCTGTCTCCACCTGAGTGCTGGGATTCCAGGCATGCACCAGTACACCTAATTTATACAGTGCTAGGAATGGAAGCCAGAGCTCTGTGCGTGCTAGGTGAGCGCTCTACCAGCGGAATGCCAGCCTCAGCATTGACTTACGTTATTACATGGGTGTTTAGCCATTGCTTTCAACTGTGCGCATTGGGTAGCGTCCCTTCCTTCCTTTTGTATTTCATTTGTCCCGTCCCTCAGGCTGAGTACCCAGATTGCCATGAATGCAAATAATGTCTTAATGAACCCTCTCTCTCATGACTTGTAAATCCATGTGGGAGTTCCTCGGGGACATTTACACACCCAGAATTAGAGTGACTTATAGACGCACTTAGTTTGACTAGGAAATGGCGAATTACCCACTGTAGGCTTGAACTGGTCTTCCCTTTTCTCCAATCATGCCGAAGGAACATGTGGGATAACTCTCGGGATTATCATCCCATTTAGTTAGGTACTGACGTAACCACTCAGTCTTAGAATGTGATAACGAACCAGTTTAGTTATCCTCTCTTAATACCATCCCAATTCTTGTGTGTGTGTGTGTGTGTGTGTGTGTGTGTGTGTGTGTGTACAAGTGCATGCACCTGTGGAGACCATAGGACAATCTCAACCTTGTTTTGCTGAGACAAGGTCTCTCACTGAGCTTGGAGCTCACTGATTTGACCCCTCTTGCCAGCAAGTCTCAGAGATCTGTTTACCTCAGCCACCCTCTATAACCACACCTGGCTTTTTAAATGTGGGCTCTGGGAATCGAACTCAGGTCCTCATGCTTATGAGACACACACTTTACCAGCTAAACTCTGTCCCAGTCCCTGGGCTTTTTTTTTTTTTAACTACTGGTAACAACTTTACTGACTTAGCTATCATTCAGCTGTATTTCTCTGCTTTTGAGCTGAAAACCTGAATCTCAGTGAATGGTAAATGTCAGGAATCTTCTAGATTGAATGTTAGAAAGGAAATGCTTCCCTTGCATCCTTTGAAGGCCAAGGTCTCAATGTGACAAAACTGATCTACATTTCCAGATGATGGGACATTCCCACTGCAAGCCTATCTATACCCATACCCACGGCTGCCTAGACAGGGCTAGGGGTCCATCTCTAAAGTCTTAACTACCACCCAGCCATACCATATATATTTGTTTTCCTTCCTTCTAGATTTTGGATACACTGAAGACACAGATTCTGTCCTATTCAATTCCTATTTTATTCTGTTTGGCAAGGAACTTGCCACATGGTGGGTGAACACATGGGAGCAATATTGATTGAGTAACCACTGGCTGTATACCATGCCAAGTCCTAGGAATGCACAGGAAGTAAGGTGAAGTTTAACTAGACAATCATGTGGAGAGGCTGAGGTTGTGTCTCCGGTTGGCAGAGTATGGATGAAGCCCTGGGTTCCATGCCTAGCACCATGTAAACCGGGAAATGTGGTGTTTATCTGCAGTCTCAGCACCTGAGAGATGAGGGAAGAAAATTGGTGCTGGAGAGAGGATTCCACAGTTGAAAGTACACACCGCTCTTCCTTATGGTCAGGGTTTCATTCCTAGCACTCACACTAGGCATCTCAATTTTCAGGAGATCCAGGGCCCTCTTGTGGTCTCCATTGGCACTGCACTCATGTGCACAAACCTACACACAGATACCCACACATGTATTCATGACTTAGCAATTGAGAGTGCCTACAGTGCTCCCAGAGGATCTGAATTTGGTTCTCAGCACCCATGTTGGTGGTTCATAACAGCTTATAACTCTATCTCCAGGGGATCTGGTGCCCTCTTCTGCACGTGTGTGCAGAAATCCTAGGAAACCAGAAGAGATCTAAAGATGTGTGTGTGTGTGTGTGTGTGTGTGTGTGTGTAAGAGAGGAATGGGTAGAGGTATGTGCTACCTCTCTGACTGTGCCTGTAACATCCTAGCCTGGAATCTGTATAGAGAGAAGACTGTTTGCCAGCACCCCAAAGGGCTTGGGCATTATGGTGGGGGACATCTGTGTAACAGTCTGGAACTTAGTGCAGAGGAGGATGTAAGCTTCAGGATGCTGGGTGCTCAACTCTCTGAGTATAAGATATAATGCATGGGAGAAGTAGAGACCCCACTCCAGGTATGATCACTGTAGTTCCAGCCCAGATACAAGCCAGTTTTCAACATCTTATTCAAGTGCAAGCCATCTGGGTCAGGTTCTGTCTACAGGGCTAGGGGCTGCAGACCTTGATAGATGTCAGGTGGCCATGAAGCTCAGCTATGTATGTCTTAAAAAACATGCCAGTCAGAGCCTAGCCAGTGCCTCAGTGGGTCAAAGGACTTGCCTTGTGTGTTGGTTCATGTCAAGTTGTCAATTAGCCACACTCATACTCACCCGAGGATCCTCAGCTGAGGAATTATTTAGCTCAGGTTGGCCTGTGGGTGTGTCTGTGGGGATTGTGTTGGTTGCTGATTGACCCAGGGCCCCTGGTGGGTGATGCCATCCCTAGGCTGGGCCTTGGACTGTACAAGAATGGAAAAAGCTGGCAGGCAAGCAGGCAGCATGGGCGAATTTGTTTCTGCCCTTGACTGTGGATGTTATGTGACTGCTTTGAGTTCTGGCCTCTGTGACTTACCTCAGCGATAGACTATAGCCTAGAAGTATAAGCCAGGTAAATAAACCCTTTCTCCCCTACGCTGGTTTTGGTCAGGGTGTTTTGTCTCAGCAATAGAAAGGAAACCAGAACAAAAGGCAAGCCTGCTGACCTAAGTTCTATCATTAGAATTTGTGGGGGAAGGCAAAAAACTGACTTTTGAAAGTTTTCTTCTGGTCCCCACATGCATGCATGTGCATGTACACACAAATAACACTTTCCAAATTAACAGTAACAACATGAGAATCAGGTATTACAGGCATGCGCCGGACCCCAGAGCACCGTTGTTGAGATTTTCAGGCTCTGTGCCCTGGAATAAGGGACTGGAGCAGGGATATGTAGAGATAGGTAGCGACAGAGTTAATTAAGAAAGAAAAAGGGACTTTGGAGACTGAAGTAGACTAGGGAGCTCTAACAGCAGCTCAAAGGCCTTGGAGCAGCCTTCTCCTTTATGGGTCGTTTACATAGCTCCGCCTCCCCCAGCATTTGGAGATTGGCACTGGGTCGTTTACATAGCCCCGCCTCCCCAAGCATTTGGAGATTGGCACCTAACAGGGTTTTTTTTTTTTTTTTCTTTTGTACATGCGCTGTGTTTTTACATGTAATTGGAGGTTGAGAGGGTTTCCAGCCTCCATTTGTTATTGGCTTATTTCTATGTTGATCTTGATGCTTCTGGGAACTTCCTCTCTGCTCTACATCTCCTACATGACAGGGACCTTGTTGCCCGTTCAGGTCAGACTGAGAAATACTGCAATATCTTCTACATGTCTCACAGGCATGAGAAGAGTCGAGAAGTGTGCTGCATCTGCCATTACATAGTCCACGGAAAAACAAACACTAATTTGTTTGCTCTCGACTTTAAATACAGCCCTTACACAAAGGATTCTCCTTGAGGAATTGCTTCATAGTTGGTATTCAATCAAGTGAGACAAATCTGAGTCCCCTTGAAGAAATCCCCAGAGAGACTTTCTTATCTGAATAACAAACTTCAGTAACATCTTTTCATTTTTATTTCACAGAACGGGCTTCTTTTATCTTTATTTGTCTCTGATCTTGAAGTGCTTACTCAATAACCACAGAACAAGTTCATTTAAATATATAACTCCTACTTTTGACATTCTTTAAAAAAATGATTGGGCTAGTTGGCCTACATGCAATTGTTAACTCTTATCTACATGTAACCACCAAATAATATGGAAGAAGGCTTATTTAGTTGTTTTAAACAGGGTCTCACATAGTCTGAGCCGGCTTCAAACTTCCTATCTATAGGTGTGAGCGGCCTTGGACTTCTTGCCTCCACCTTCCAAATGCTCAGCTTCTTTCCCCCTTTCTATTCAGAGCAAGACCCCAGACCATGGGACAGGGGTGCCTCTCTCTATTCATGGCAGGTCTTCCCATCTCAATGAGCTCAGCCTAGAAACTCCCTCGCAGACATGCCCAGAGGGTTGTTTCTGTGATGATTCTAAAATCTCATCAAGTTGACAGTCAAGATTAACCATCATAGAAGCCACAGTTGAGACCCTGGCTCTGGCCATCGTCTTCCTAAGGAGTGGCATCTGAGGCCTCCAGGAGTCCTTTGTGCCTGAGGTGCTTCTAGGCGGCTGACTCTGGGCTGGTGTCAGGCCATCAATTAGGCAGAAGGACAGAGGAAGTGAAGAGACCGTGATGAGGTCAGTAATTACACACCACAGTACAGCTGACCCCGAGAGCAGGTGGTGGTAGGAGAGAGTGACATTTCGGCCTCTGTCACTTGGGATTCATCTTCACCCTTGTGTTTAGGCCTGAGGGGGAGCTCACGGATCTGGAAGAGGCTGTCTACACGGTTCTGTTAACAATAAGGATGAAACCAGGACTCTGGCTCTGCTCGCTTATAATCCCAGCACTCAGGAGGTGGAGGCAGGAGGATCAGAAGTTCAAGGCCAGCCTGGGATACATGAGATGCCACCTTGAAACAAACAAACAAACAAACAAAAAGGTAACGAGAAAGTACTGTGTTTAATCCGGAAGGCTACTTTCTTTCCCTTCCAGGTGCTGTTGTCTGGGCTGTAAAGTGCTTGCTTTAGAAGCACGAGGAAATGAACTTGACCCCAGAACCCGCGTAAGAAAAGCCAGATGTGGTGGGGTGGTGGTGGTGGGTGTGCCTGTAGGCTTGGTGACCAACTTAACCTACTTGGGGAGTTTGAGGCCAAAGAAAGATCCTGTCTCAAAAACACAAGGTAGATGGCACTGGAGATGGCAGCTGAGGTTGTCATTTGGCCTCCACCTGCATATAGACAGACAGACAGACAGACAGACAGACAGACACAGACACACACACACACACACACACACACACACACACGCTTGTACTCACATGCACATGTGTAACTACACACACGAATATGCATACGCATGTACAAAAATTGCTGTTATCATTGAAACTTATAACTCATGAGATCTACAAGTGCTTGCATTTTTATTATATATTTAGTGCTTCTGTGGCGCGGGCTCTTTGTTAAGTCCCTTGCATTTGTCTCTTCTTTATTTAAAAATTTATTTTTATGACTTTAAATCGTGTGTATGTTTTGGGGGATGTGTATATGTGTGTAAGGATCCCCTAGAGTTGGAGTTACAGGTGGTTGTGAGCCGCCTGATGAGATCTGAACTCTGGTCCTCTGGAGGAGCAATATGTGCTCCTAACCACTGAGACCTCCAGCCTCTCATTCATTTACTTATTTGGGTGGGCATGCGCATGCCAGGGTGTGATGGTCAGAGAACAACTTGGAGTTGGCTCTTTCCTTCCACCACATGGGTCCCAGGGCTTGAACTCAGATCGGCTTGGCCACTGGTCTCACCCACTGAGGCATCTAATTGGCCCATGTGTCTTTCCTAATAACTGTATCTACAGAGGTAGTGATTTTTACAGTGAGACCCACTATTGTGTCTAATTACTATATGATATAGATACATATTTGAAAGATACCTGATCTAGCGACTTTGATAAAAGTTCTCTCGTCCTACCCACCCCATTGGGGAAAAAAAAAAGTTTTGTGGCTTTTGTCTGAACCAGTGGAAAGAAATGGAAGTTGGGGTGAGAGGACCCAGGAGCTGTGCTGAGCACCTCGGCCCCAAGTGCCACTGGACAGGCAGGGAGCTAGTCAGACACCTCCCCTCGCTAGTGACTCTCCATTTCGGCCTGATGCTTGGGAGGCACCGAGCTCTTGAGAGAAGCAGTTTCTCTTCCCTTTTTTATTTGGACACTTACTTCTTTGAAGACCAAGGGCTTGAGGCAAGGTTTCAAGTGAAAAGATAAAATATCTCAACCCCCTCAGGTGCCAATTATCCACCCCTTCATGCGAACAACTTTCATTTCCGGTTTATACAGAAGCAATGAGCTTTTCTCTTTCAATATGCTATCTGTGGGGTGGGCAGGGGATGGGCTCTCATTCGCCAGATCAGACTTCTTTTTCTTTAAATTAGCATCTATTAACTGCGCACAGGAGTGTCCGTTTTTTTGTACATGTACGTAGCGCATTTTGATCATATTCACCCCATTACCTTCTTTTATTTTCCTCCTCCTACTGTTGTTGACGAACCCCCTTTTCCTTCTTAACTAGTTTCCCCCTTCTACTTTCTTATCTTTTTTTTTTCAACCCAGTGAGTTTAATTAAAATCACCCAGAGAAGCATGGGCAACTTGCCAGTGGCTACACCACTAAAGAAAATGTCTCTCTCCAGATCGAAACTGGTAACAAAGAAAAGTTAAGGGGAGGGGGTATAAACAAATTGACTTTTTGCAGGAAAGCTGGCTATTCCTTAAAAACCGTTAGAGAGTCTGTCAGCCAGAATATCCCCCTCCTTTCGACCTTATTTGCAGATTATGTGAGGAATACATCCTCCCAACATTGATGTGTGGTCCCGGGAGCCATCAATTTCTTGACAGCATCTCTACCAGCTAAGGATGCTGGTCATGCATTCCCGAACACAGAGGCATTAGAATGAGACGCTGCTCGCAGGAGAGAGGCGTAGGGATATATTTTCTAAAGAACATTCATCTCCTTTGGAAATAAGGCAATTTGGCTTTCTACCTGGGCTCGGAATGAGATAATATTGCAGGCCGGAGAGACGGGGAATGAAAGCGGCAATTGTGAATGAAGTGTTGTTGGCAGGGTTTTCATTTTTACCCCGAGCCAGGCATGTATTTATCTGCATTGTTCAAGTGTGGGTGTTGTTGACAAGGAAGTAAGGAGGCTTAGTCAGCTCTCTTGGCTGGGGAAACACCGCTCCCTTATCAGGAGTCCAAAAACACTTTGAGAGTCCAAATTAGTCCGTGCTTACTGCTTTAGTGCATGTGTTCATGTGGGCACGCATTTCCAAGGACGTGCGTGTCCATGTGGACAGCAGAGGTCAATGAGGGGCATCTTCCTCAATCACTGTCCACGTTATTTACTTTTTACATATTTCGTTTGTGTATTCATGTGATATCAGTGTGCATGTATATGCAGGTTCATAAGGTATGTGAGTGCATGTGAATTTGTGGATTCACACGCACATGCGCGCGCGCGCGCACACACACACACACACACACACACACACACACACACACACACACACACACGCATTGGTGTAGAGGTCTGAAGTTGACATCAAACGACCTTGATTATGTTCTACTTTATTTATTTATGGAGGCAGGGCCTCTCACTGTACCTAGAACTCTGGCTAGCGAGCTTATCCCAGGTATTCCCTTTCTCCATATCAGAGTGCTGGCATTGCAGGCGTCTGCCATGTCTTCTTGGTGTTTCTGTGAATTTGAGGGACCCAGACTCTTACCCTTACTACTGCTGTGCAACTTTATGCATCCAGCCGTCTCCTTAGCCCCACCTCAGTTTCTGAAGCTGAACTTGGGGCTTTCTGATTGGGCTGGAATGGTGACCCGTAAACTCTAGGGATCCCCACACCAGGTCTGAAGTCGCAGGCATATGCTGCGGTGTTCATGTTTCTCTGTGGGTGCTAGGGATCGGCTGCTGAGCTAGAACCTCAGTACTGTGGAATCACTGGCATTTGCCTTGCAAGGTGGAAATATCAGGCGGCAGGTACTACGTGGCTGTGATGTCACAGTACACACATTATGTTTCAATTGTCTGGAATTGAGATGGCAGTAAAGTCTATCCTTGGAGGATTTTTATCCACAAAACTTTGCTCGACTTTTCCTTTCCGTGAAACAGAAGTGGACATTGTGATTTTGGAGATGGGTGATAGTGGCTTTTCTGTCTTCGCTGTGGACAGTAACAGCGAGCACACATTATTCCCCCCACCTAAGCATTCATCTTTCGAGTGCTGAGTCTTAATTGGCAGGCTAAAGCTTAAAGCCCAGGGCCCCATTGCTCTCAGAACACCACTCATACATGCTGGAAAGGGAACAGGAAGGGACTTGAAATCTCTCCTTGTGCTTTTCAGCCAAACTAGCCCAGGTTTTTCAACTGGACGTATTTATTGGGAAAGAATGTTATTGGAGGGAAAGACACAAAGTCAACAGGCAAGGGACTTTGGAGGTGGTAACAAGACACCGTTCCGTGCTCACAAATCCTGGGCAACCAGATAGCAGCCCTCCTCATTTATAAACAGTCAACAAAGCCACTGCAGGTGACAGTTGCTGATGCTACAGAGGCCTCTCAGATGGCCAGGCCCCTGCAACCTTATTCAGCACCTCATTAAAGCAATTTCAGAATCAATTCCCGATTTGACAAGCCGTCAGTACATTGTTGCTTCTCGATGATGGGAGTGACATGTTAACAGCAATTAGACTTTCGTGCGCACACGTGGGAGCCCGTTCAGCATATTCTTGATTAGAAGAGCCCAAAATGCGTTATTATAATCATCTAACCTGGGGTCATGGACACATGCTCTGTGATCTCTGCCTCTGTCACAGGCCCCTCAGTGAAATCCCATCCATTGTCCGTAGAGATTAAAAGGAAGTGCTTACCCCAGATGCGATATTGGAAAATCAAAGGTCAGAGTACAGCTCATGGTAGCCTCCATGTTTTTTAATACAAGTGATGGAAGCAATCAGATTAGCATGAAGGGATATTGCTTCTTCTAACAGATGGAGTGGGATTCTCATGCAAATGAGGAGGACAGGCTAAATAATTTGTTGGTAGCATTCTGGGGCCAGCAGTGGGATGTTCTTGCTGGGGCTGGTTTGTGCTCAGACAAGGTGATAACAGAGGCTGGGCTCCCGTTAAGTAACCCTTCATATCATGGAAACTACTTGCTTCTTTTTCTGTGTGTGTGAGTGTGTATGTGTGCGCACGCGTGTGTGCGTGTGTGTGTGTGTGTGTAGGCCTGAGGACAACCTTAGCTGTGTTCCTCAGGACCCATCCACGCTGTGTTTTTGAGACCAAGTCTCTCATTGGTCTGGAACTTACCTCGTTAGTTATATTGGATGGCTAGTGAGCTCCAGGGGATCCACCCGCCTCTGCCTC